TAAGCACAGACAGACAACCCCCTAATTAACAATTTATGTTATGATTTTAGGGTATATTTGAAACTTTTCTTTGATACCTGTATTTCTCTATTTCTGTTTGGATATATGTCAAATTTCCCAAATTCATCCAACAAGAACGGCAATGAAGCCGGTTTTCAAAATTCTTGTTTTCTTTTTATTAAATTTCGGAGAAAAATGGGGGAAAAAAAACAGTCAAACATGACTTGCTAGAATGGCTCGTCTCTTCAAACATGTCGAGTCTAGATGGAATCAAATAAGAGTTCACTATACAAAACTCAATGAAGATTATGATACAATGAGATTAATAAGCTGGTCTCTATCCATTTATACCACTTCTTTACCACTATCCCAAGGGTTAGGACTAAGGTTGGGTCGGTTTTCCTTCTACCCATTGGAAAAGCAAAGGGAGTGTGAGATACTGGATGAAAAAATTCGATTACCAGGTCAACAGTTACAATAATCCAAGGCCTTCTCTCTTAATTTCACTCTCAATGACGAGCTTGATGACCATTGAATTCCAACTTCGAGTTTCTTTCACTCTAATCTAATCTATCTGTTTGAAGCTTTTTACAATTGAAATAAACCATTTATCAATGACAACATCGACGTGTGTCATATAAAAATGTTAAATGCAATTATTCATCAATTCGAGATTCCAAGATTTCATTCGCTTAAAGAAACTATCAGGAATTCTAAAAAAGAGTTTTGAGTCATCAGACGATGCCCAGATGCCAGAGGTATTCGAATAAAGGGAAAGAGAATAATTAAAATTTAAGTAAAGTGATTATATATAAATTTCAACATCCCTTTTGTCTTACTCCATCTGTCCATTAAAATCTTGTATGATATGTTTGTCTTTAACAATGGGGCACGAACCCCACTAATTAACGTTCACACTATTTTTTAGGGATAATTGAAGTAGAGGTCCCAAATATTTCACTTTTTTGTAGATTTTTCCACAACCTTCACTTTGTGTCAACCACAATTTCAAACCTTTCAAAAATTAGCATATAGGATCTAAATTGATGATTTCTGCTAGTTTGACCATTAGTTGACTTTAAAAATAAAATTTTATTATTTTAAAACAGGTAAAATGGTAACTTTGAATTAAAATTAAAAAACTATTAAAAAAAAATAATCAAAAATCAATCACTGTTCATCTTTTCCTTCCCACACCCACCCCGTCTTCTAAACCCTACCAAAAAATCCATCACCACAGCCTGGTTACCACTTGTCGCCTGCAGCCAACATCCACCAAAACCACGTCGGACATTCTCATAGTTGTGTCACTACGAACCTTTCTTTCTAAGACAAGCCATCTTCAGTCAATCTCACAAGCCGAAGCCGATCCGGCGGTGTTGACTCGTGGCTCGACTCCTGCTGTTTGGGTTTCACCTCACCAGTGGCCACCACCATAACCTTTAACAATTGGGCCTTCCGAGCCTAGTCCAAAAAATTGCACAACACAAACCTATTTTCGTTTTGTCGACAAATTGAATTGGAAAATTCGAAAGTTCTCCAATTCTCGCTTATGGCAACATTGCATGCTAAAAATGCCCCTCCCCTCCCCTCAACATCATTTTGCTATTTATTATCAAAATTTTCAATTTCGATGAGATCGATGAAGACAAAGGGAGCTATGAAATTAGGCTTGGATTTCAGGGAAAATTAAAGGTTTTATAAGAAGATGGGTTTGATTTGGTGGCAAAAAATGAAGAAAAAAGAAAAATGGTTGGAGAAGAATCTAATGGCGGAGGTGGTGATGGCTACTAGTTTTGCTCGATGGGGTTCGTGGGGGTGGGGTGGAGAAGATGATGAAGAAGAAGAAGTTTGGGGGAGTGTTCTAGGTAGGGATGTCAATCGAGTTGAGCTGCTCGTACTGTTCATGCCCATGAGCCGCTCGGACTCGTCAAAAAATGAGCCCGAGCACGAGCCGAGCGGGCTGACTCGCTAGACGAGCCGAGCCGGCTCGACTCGTACTATTCACGAGCCCACGAGCCAGGCTCGTGGGCTCGCGTATATATAATAATAAAAAAAAAAAATTAAAAACAACAAAGTGACCAGAACGGTCACTGATTGTTCCGGTCACTTGTGATTCAGTGACCGTTTGGTCACTATTTTTTTTTTATTTTTCTTTTCCTATAAATACTTACCTATTACAACAATTTTTTCTCACCAAACTTTCACAATTTCATTCTCTAATCTCTACTCTACTCTACTTTCTACTCTCTACAATTTACAAATCATTATCAACCCTTTCATTCATTTATTCTATAATCANCGGTCTCAATCTCGGATAAAGGAGGAGAATTTATTTTTTAAAAAAATTGTTTATAAAATGTGTATATTTTATGTTTAATAAAATATAAAAGGGTAAACAAAAAACAAAACTCAACAAATAAAATTTTGTTCTTATTATTAAAAAAAAAATGTAGAAGGTGATTATAGAATGTTAGGAGAAGAAAATTAGCAAAATAAATAAATAAATAAATTTAGACGAGCCACGAGCAAGTTCGAGGGCACGAGCCCACGAGCTGCTCAGCGAGCCGCTCGCCGAGCGGTTCACCTTGGGCGAGCTCGAGCACGAGCCGAGCTCGCCTAAAATCCAACGAGCCACAAGCTCGGCTCGTGTGGGTATGGGCAGAGCCAGCTCGGCCGGCTCATTAACATCCCTAGTTCTAGGAAGGGGAGCAAATTTTTTGTTTAAATTTTTTTATTTAATTATTATAATTGTGTTTTTATAAAAATATAATTTTACCATTTTACCTTTTTTAATTTGGTTAAAATTAGTCACAATTTTATTTTTTTGATCAGCTAACTATCAAACTAACAGAATTCATCCATTTGAACCTCAAGTGCTAGTTTTTGAAAGGTTTGGGACTAAATGTGACATAAAGTGAAGGTTAGGGTAAAGTCTGTAAAAAGTGATTTGGGACCCTGTTGCAAATATCCATTTTTTTTTATTTGAAACTCTCAAACTATTTCCATTTTAAAATATACATAGATGAAATAATATTTGTTTGCTAAAAATATTTCTTTTTGGAAATTCGTTGGATAGAAACCTTGATAAAAAAAAATAAAAGAAGATAAACCTTGATTAATCATGTCTTATCCTGTTATCCATATCGAATTAACCTTTGGATTCCTCACCCATTTGTGTCTTTTATGTCAAAATGTATACTGCAATGCAGATTCTCTAAAATGATTATTTTTTTGTTTTTTTCCTCTAAATTTCTAAAATTAATTACATTATCAAAATAAAAAATAAAAAATTGGAGCATCGATGAAGATATGCTGTGCTTGCAATTGACTGTCAAAGACAAAGTGTGTCCAATTCACTCAAAGTTGAAGCCACCCCAACGACAGCCAAATGATGGTGAATTACTTCTAACATCAAGTGCTTCCAATACTCGATCGTGCACATTTTATATTATGAATTAAATAGAATTGAAATAGAAGATAAACAAATATTTCATATATTTTAAAATATTATTCCGTCGAAAATTCTAAATATGTCGTTGAAGTACATACGATGGATTCATGCACGGTCCATCGAGAGTTTTGAAAATTTACCCGTACAACTCTACATTTGAATTACCGCATGTGTGAAATTAAAACTCCTAGATATGTTTCTATTACATGTATTATTTACTAGATATGACAAATAGTCGGTATGATGATTAATATGTTTGTAAAATATTAGAAAAAGGGATAAAATTATAGTAAAAAAACAACTGGCAAAACCATAACAATTGCATATAAGCAAAAGAAACCAAAAATGGTGGGGCTTGCAAATTGCCCTTAGGACTTCTTGTCTGTCCTTCTATGTCACGCTTTGTCAAAACCAATGCCTTCCCCTCTTTTGCTAAGAAATCGATTTAACTTTATTCGTGCATTCTTGTTCAATCAAAACATATTATATGTTAAAGATAAGATTCTGGTCGAATCGAACCAGCATCTTTAGTTTAAAAAGTTAATGTGAATTCAACATTTTGATCGTCTTTAATTTAAAAATTGGATATAACATTTTGATTTCCCTAATTTATGCTTCTTAGACAATCCTATCCTATTATAAAAATTCGAAAAGTCAATTTTAAATAAGAAATATACACAACGATTAATCAAAATTAACAATTGCATAAAATAAATTAATTAGTGTCAAAAAAGCACTCAAGAGCACACGTCAGATATTGAGCCATCATTATGAAAAACTTAAATGGTTTTGCAAAGCTTGAAGTGTCTCTCCATGTTAGCTCGGGATTTGAACCCCGCTCACCAATGAGGAAAGGCTCGTCAAATAAGGTTTGCGTTTCAGCAAACCTTTTGGCCGAGCAAAACATGGTGAACCTTATTACTCCCTTATCTAAAGGCAAGTTAAGTGATTAACTTAATTGCCTCGTGGGAGTCTTTTAAGTCTCATGCAAAGTTGAAGGAGAGCTAACCAGGTACAAAATATGACTTAACATCAAAATATCCTCTTTAATTTCAGTCTATTTTGTTTCTCTTTTATACCAATTTTTATTTTCGACAACTAATTTGATTGTCAGAGTGCAGACGACAGCCATATCATCCCTTGAACGATAGTCTTAGGCTTAGCAAACTAATTGTGCTAAGTGTGCAACCAATGCGGGTAATCCAACCCATTTTGACATGGTCCAGGCCCGTTTGATCGCCATCCGTAATTGGGTGACACCTACCCTTGAATCTTGATTTTTAATATTAGACGCCAAGAATGAATAATGAGGTAATTGGGGCCCTTTGTGAAGAAAATCAATTGCTGTTTTTTAGTACTGTCTGTCTGTCATTTTTAACCCTCTCTATGTTCCTGTCTCGTTTCCATCGCCATTTCTTAAGAACATAACATTTCGATGAACCCAATCGTTGATGCCCTAAACTAGAGGACAACTATCCTTAAAAATTGCACACACACTACACACACTGTTACTACTACTAAACACCATTCACTGTCACATTGTCACATGGCAGCTACCACCACTCGTCTCAAGTTCCAAACTCAGCCTGTTAAGTCTAAACGCCGCCGCTGCCGTGAAACTACCATTACAGCCTCCTCCGCTGCCACCCCTACCCCTTCAGTTTCGTCTGCTACCACGTGTCAGCAAAGCCGTAGATTTGACACGCCGATTGTAGTTTCCCCTGAAAATTCTTGGTGCTGCCCTGCTTCTAAACCCCCACCTCCGCCGCTGTCACCTCCGGCCGAGGGTACGGTTGCATCATCGTCATCATCACTGTCTCGCTCTTCATCAGATCTGAAGATCTATAACTCGCCTGCTACTATGGACTCCTACTCCACCGCGACTACCATCTACGGTTGTGGTGCCGCCGGCGGAGGCGTCGCACCTCAGGATAATTTTCCGTCGTCCTTAAGCAAATTTAACTCCGCGCTCACGGCGGGTCTTCTTAACCCAATGTCTCCTCCTCCTTTAGTGGATAAGACTCGTTCAAGCCCAACCCTATTTGAAATGATGGCCAATGAGCCAGATTGCCAACCCAGAGCCACAAACCTAATTCAAAACGCCATTGTTTCGACTCAAAATCATCAGACCTCAAAGATTTCAATAAACCCACCTCCACAAGACAGACAGGCGTTAATGCACCAGCGTCTGATGGATCTTTTGGAATTGAGAAGCCCTGGGAATCAGTTTAACGATGCAGGATCAGGGGATGTGAAGCTGACTTTGAGTTCAAAGGATGGTCTGACTATTTCCATGAGCGTTCATAGGCAGATTCTTGTAGCTCACAGTAGATTTTTTGCTCTGAAATTGAATGAGAGATGGATTAAGCAGCAGAGGAGCTCTGGGCCGTACGACGTTGAGATTGCTGATTGCGATGATATCGAGGTTTACATTGAGACTCTGAGGTTGATGTATTGTAAGGACTTGAGGAAGAAACTCATGAAAGAGAATGTTCCCCGAGTCCTCGGAATTCTCAAGGTAATGCCCATCATCGTACTTGCGTGTATATTTGTATATCTATATCTATCTGTTGCTTGTGTGGGTTAATACAAAAATGCATATGAATGTCAAAGATATGATTTTTTGAATCCTTATTAACGAATGCATTTGAGATTAACGATAAATCCATACACAGAAATGAGAAAGATAAAACAATTTGATAAGCGAAACAGATTGAATTGGCTTCAGACGAGTAGCTTATGAGAACTTAGAACTGAATGAGAGTCCTGTGTGGGTTGCTACGGTGCATGAGATGCAAGTGCAAATTGTCAAGTACTGAAAAATGTTATACTGTTGGGGTAATATGATATTCTTTTGAGGAGTTTTAAATGATACTCTTTTCAAGTTGAACTAATGATGATGTAGGATTCACGCAAATTAGTGCATTACTTGTAATCACTGAGAATAAAATTGATGTAGATTGCCCCGATTTTTGTATTGTTCTGTTCTGTTGTGTGTTGTGTTGAATTGACTGATATTTGACAGTATGTGGCCTTACTGAAAATATGTGGTTAAAATTGTTCGACAATTTGATAGTTTACATTTCTCTCTTGACAATGTATGTGGAGAAACATATAGCGCACACACTCTTCTAATACTGGTGAGGTTTTGTATGTTAATGTCATTTACGGTGGTGTCATGACCTTGAATAATATAGCTGTCTTACTCTTCTTCCAGAATTTATTGTGGGTTTATCTTTTTGTGCTGTAGTACTTAATTTGGCAACACTTATCATGGTTGAAACGTCAAATCTTCACAATAATTACGGTTACATGTTACAAACTGAATTCATGAATGCTCACGTTTATGCTTGTAAGGGATTATTTACAACATTTTGGTTTAAACGTTAATGTGTAATGTATCTAGTGCGTTGATACTTACATAAACTTAGGTATACAAAAGTAATGGACAGTTATTCAAGTTTTGAAGTGCATTAAGCTACTATCCACAATAACGAGGTGATGATCTCAGGTTAATGGTCCTATTGTAGGTGTCTGCAGCAATTGGGTTTGATGCAGGTGTGCTGTCTTGTTTGGAGTACTTGGAGGCTGCTCCATGGGCCGAAGACGAGGAAGAGAAGGTAGCTTCACTGTTATCAGAGCTTCGGCTTGAAGGGATTGGAGCAGGGGAAGTTTTGAAGAGGGTTTCTCTTGATGTCACATCAGGAGTTGATGATAGGAGTGACAACGAAGAAGTGCTTATCAAGCTATTGCAGGTCGTTCTCGAAGGAAAAGATGAGAAAGCGAGGAGAGAGATGAAAGTTCTGGTAACCAAAATGCTACGTGAGAACTCATCGCAAAATGATTTAAGGAAGGAGTCTCTGTACTCAGCTTGCAATGGATGTTTGCAACTGCTCCGCCTTCATTTTCTACAGGCAGCAGAATCTGACATGCAGAATGTTGGTCAGATAGCACGGCAGGCAGATAATTTGCACTGGCTATTGGATATTCTGATTGATAGACAGATTGGTGAGGATTTTTTAACGATATGGGCATCTCAGTCTGAATTGTCTAAAGCACATTCTAAAGTGCCCGCAATCCATAGGTACGAGGTTAGTGGAGTTACTGCTAGGCTGTTTGTTGGCATTGGGAAGGGGCAACTATTGGCATCCAAAGATGCCAGGTGTGCGCTTTTGCAGACATGGTTGGTACCATTTTATGAGGATTTTGGGTGGATGAGGAGGGCATCAAAAGGTCTTGACAAGCATTTAATTGAGGATGGTCTTAGCAACACTATACTGACTTTGCCCCTGGCCTGGCAGCAGGAAATTTTAATGTCATGGTTTGATCGATTTCTTAATTCAGGCGATGATTGTCCGAATATCCAGAGAGGCTTTGAAGTCTGGTGGAGAAGGGCATTCTGGAGGCGTAACGTTGAGCCTGAGAGGCCTCGTCAAATACGGGTCATGACTGCTACAATAGAGAACTGATGATTTTGACTTGCAGTAATTTCAGGTTCACAGTCTTGATTAGTCCAATTGGATAGTATGAATTTATTTTATATTTCTTCATTTCTGAACTGAATACTGTAGTTCATTTTGGCAGTGGAGTTCCAATGACATCAACTGATTTGCGAAGTTTAATTCGATATATGACATATAGAATATAAGATATGAGAAAACTTCCCGGATAGTGGATTGCTTGGCTCCACTTGTTGCTTGTTGACATTATCTTCACTGTTTACAGCAGCACTGGATTCAGACATCATATTTTTTTGTTATGTAGGTATTCTTGTTGTAATGCCCCGAGTTTCGTGAACTCGGATTGTCACGTCATATTCTTTTGTACCCGATTTAACTAACAAGATTTGCGAAAAATAACTAAATTTCTAATTTC